CAGTGATGTCTGTTTCCTTCAAAGTCCATCATGTATGAGTATGCAAACTGCTGTGGGTAAATTATAGATCTCCAGATGTTACTGGATTTCAACTCACCATCCTTCAATATTCATTATGCTGTTTGAGACTGGAGGCAGTTACTCACAACAACATAAGAGCCACCATTCACTATTCCTGTTTTAAGAAGAAAGCAAGGAGCAGATAGACTCTTCCCACTGTATATTTGTGAAAACATATACAGGTAATGGGGCAGGAAAGGAGTCTTGTAGTATCTTGTAGACATTAACAAAGAGAAGTTTGTGTTGTGAGTGTTTATGGACTGTTTCATTAGATGCATGGGGTGGAGTGTCATTGAGACAGGAACAGTTAGAGGGCAAAAAGAAGATCTGCTGAAGATGTTTTTCATCTTCTCCAGGAGGTCCAATAACTCTAGTTACAAAAGTAACTGGGGAATATTTGCAACTACGAACTGAAAAATCAATGTGTCAATTCCCCATCATGAATTAAAAGCTTATAGACATTATAAATTAAGTATACAGAGGTGAGCTGATGTTAATAGAGGTCCCAGGGCTCACTGAGCAGAGTACTTCTGTCACAAAGGCAATTTAAATGGTATCTCCTCCCTAATGCATGCCTATGAATATATTTATTTCGATGGGCTTTCTGTAGTAAAATGTCTTAACATAGTCTATACAGCTTGGCGTTATGCAATTATTTGTGAAATTACACTTTCCAGGGTCAATGTGAATTAGACTGCTCTTGTTGATCCTTGTGGTAAGAAACATATTGAGAAAGAACATAGGCATTTACTGAGAAAAGCAGCTTATTAATCATTAGCAGCCTGTTTCCCAGCTACTTTTTATATTCTAGAATAAAGAACAGAAAATAATAATAAAATTATGCCCTACTGCTTAAAAGTGTCAAAATAGTAATTCTTGGGCTTGCTAGGGGAAAAATGGGTATGACAGCATGTTCAGCAGCTTACTCAAAGCATTTAGATCTACATTGAGAATTTCAGACCTTGGCATAGGATCAGGTAGGTCTTTGGAAGGAGTTTTTGTGGGTGTTTTCTGTAATCATATTGGATAGTACTGGCCTTTCTCTCCCTACCTAGAAAACTTCAACGAGCAGTATGACTAGAGGTTATACACATTGTTATGATGTCCCAGTGTGAAGTAAATGAACACCATATACTTGAATCATTTGTCTCTCTCATGAGATATGCTGAGATTCAGTCTCCAAACAAACAAAATAGATGTTTTTATTTCATACAATGAAAATGTGACATTTAAATAGAGTTGGTTCACTGTAAATCAATGTATTTATTTGCAAAATGACTTGATTTTAAAAAAATAGTCATATGTAAAATGTAGATTTTTTGTTCACTGGACCTGAGGAACTCTGTTCAAGTGCTATGATTCATTGAACCCATAGAACTGCTGGATAAACATATACAAATATAAATCTTCCGAAAATCTCCTTACAAAAAAATTACTTAATATGTCAGTAGCTACTTTTAAATGCCCATGTCTAGTTATGCCTTTATGGATATCCATAAAACAGAACTCTCTTAGTTAAATTAAATTAATTATTTTACCTTATTATTTTTAAGATAGGGCTTTCATTTAAATATATATATATATTAAAAAACTCCAGTAGCTGAATGTATTTTTTTCCCAGGCAAAATAGTCAGCATTTTGTTACTGAAGTATAAAATGTATCAAAGATATGATGGTGTTCCATGAGAAATACCCTCCAACTGGTAATACTTATTGTTAAATAATAATAATAATAATAATAATAATAATAATAATAATAACTTTATTTTTCTACCCTGCCTCTATCTCTCCGAAGGGACTCAGGGCGGCTTACACGGGGCCATGCCCAGACAACATACAATTAAAAACAGAACAAAATATAAAACAGCATAAAAACAACATCATCATAAACAATAAAAGCAAGCATCATAAGCAACAACATAGGTACCCTAATCTCATTTTTGGGGGGAGGGCATCAAGATGCAAAATAAGTTAAAGGATAGTTGGTCAAAAGAGATGGATAGAACAAATAGTAGAATAGGAATAGAGCAATCATAACAGCAATTATTAGCTTAAAAATATAGTAATCAAATATAGGAACTGAGTTCAGGTCATGGCTAGGTGTTGATGAGCAATTTGTTAGAACAAATTATATGTTTGCTTGGGTATATTTTTTTACAGCAGCCAATAAACAGTAGTTGTAAGAGGTTATAAAACATAATATTTTTGCAAATGGGGCTGTATACCATATCCATGTTGTGCATTTACATTCATTAGGAAGTCTAATATTAGTTTTATTCCAGCTTCGAATTCAACTACTTCTTATAAGTTACATGAGGTAAATACTGTATTGCCTAAAGGAAATATAGCTTTTTGTAAAATCACTTTCTAAGTTGTATTTGCTAAGGATAGATCAGGTATTTGAATAATGTATTACAGCTCATTTTCCTTATAAGATATAAGAGCAAAGAGGAAGCATCTCCAGAAAATTGTTGGATGGTAATTTCCAACAATTAGTGGTTGAGATTGATGAGAGTTGTAGCTCAAAACTCCTGTTCCTGTATAAGAGGGATCAAAAGTAGTATCTTCATCGCCTTTCTTTTTTCTGATTGTCTTGTATAGGCCTGAACATTTAGCAAGGCATAGTACATCCAGGCTGGAAACATCAAATTTGTGAATCTCAAGTATGTCTTTTACTTTTATGACTCACTCTATTAGGATATAAGGGCAGAGTAAGGGGTTAAGCCTTCTCTATCCCTATAATAAGGTTCTAATACAATCAAACTCTTTAAGTTTACAGTCACTTTTTTGAATATCTATTTATTTATTTACGGTATTTGTAACCCACCTTTCTCAGCCCTAAGGTGACTCAAGGTGGCTTACAGAATTGGCAAAATCTGATACCATACATTTATAAAAATACAATTAAAACATTCAGCATATTATAAAAACCATATATAAAACATATATGAATGTTCTCTTGCGAGCCGCACCAAGTCCCTCTGGGGAGATGGTGGTGGGGTACAAATAAATTATTATTATTATTATTATTATTATTATTTAACCGATATAGTTGTCACTAAGGTATTGAATCCCATTTTTCTTTTCATTTTTCACTGTGGCCCTTGTCAGAAGGGAAAGCTCTCTGCTGCATTCTGCTGCCTTCACTGCAGAGGGCCCCACTGCTCCCGGGGTTCTAACTTTCTGTAAAATCCTGAATTTAATCTGCGTTTTTTTCCATAGTCTTAGCAGCTCTTCTTTTGAGTAAAGACCAAGGTATCATTAAATTTGTCCTCTTCACCTTCCAGGGACAGAAAACCTACTAGAAACAGCTTAACCCGTTTTAATGAGTTGTAACTTTCCCACTTCCCTGCTCTCAGCTTTCCAAATTGCCTACTTATTACTTCTAACTCACCTGGCTTCCATGTTCATCTGTTGGCTTCTCCCAATTGCCAGCTCTAATAGGTTCCCAAAGGCCATTTGGTCCATTGCCATGTTGAAAAAGCAGGATTGACCAAACACCTGTTACCTACATATCCTCCACTAAGAAAACAGTAAACATGAATACATGCCATGGCTCAGGGGGTCAATTTTCTGTCTCTGAGTCCTTTTGGGAGGCTATACAGACTGTCAAAATGCCACAAAAACAGGTATTTCAATGATAAACAGTGCAAGTGGGCTCTGCAACTTCTTTAACCATTGAATTTACATCCTTTCTTTGTTTAAAAATGAGCAACCCAGAAAGTCAAGCAGATAAGCAAACTATGTACAAAAACCCATATATGTATATATATAAATTCCCCCATTAATGTGAAGAGGATCCATAATATACAGGCAGTTTCTTTACAAAAATCAGGGAGGTTGGGAATGAAGATGCAGCCATGGTTCTACCTCCATGGCATAACTCGGCTTTCATAGTTTCTGGGATAGAAAGGAGCTAATGTTTCTCCTGCTTAATTTGCTGTGAGTTTGTTATCTCAAGACACCTAGTGTGAATAAGGTGCTAGCAGTGTCATGGAAATGCTTGTATCTCTGGTAAAGAAAGTAGAATGAAAAATGTAAAAAGGCTAATTCATTTCATTTTGTCATTAAACAGGTGAATTATCTGAAATAGATCAGAAAAAGGGCAAGGGTATTAACCTTAGGATTAAAAGGTATGATACCTCCAAGAGAATGGGCTGAGGATTGTAAATCTGTGTGAGCTGGAAAGAAATGAGATGTTTAATAGAGAATCTAATTGAAGTTTTAAAAATGTCTTGGCTGGTTTGGCTAGTGTCAACTTCAATTATTTGGGTTAATCTCATCCCGGGACCAGAATAATAGATGTTAATGAAAATCTCCAAAAAGCAGATTTTTTTTGCTCTGAGGTCTGAAATGTCTAGCCCAGCTACAGACTGAGGGCAAACATAACCAAACCACACATATAAAAATTACTTCAGTGGAATTAAAGCATCATATCCAACCTTCTGTGATTTCAAGTAATTTTTTTTAAAGACAACACCCAACCTTCTCTTCTGCTCTTGCACAAATTTCTTCACAAGTAAGGAGAGCAGTGTTGCCTGGAATGCCCCAATGAAGAAGGTGTCAGTATCATAGTCTTTTAGTATTTGCTTCTTTTTATTCCTGTGCTATCCTTGGAACCAGCCATACCAACTTGTGATAAAACAAAAATGAGGTGGAGAACTATATCAGAGAACTATATCAGAGCAGGACTACAATGTTGCAAGAAAAGGCAAAAAGGAATTCCTCTTAAATCTTATTTCCAGTTGTACAGTTGCATCTTCTCTCTCAGTACAGGCTGTAGTTCAGTTACGGGGAAAAGGTATGTACCATTATATTTGATGATGTGGTGTGTAAAACTAAAAAAAGTAGGAGTATATATGAAAGGTATCTTTTCCATTCTCTGAAAAAGATGTATGACAATTTCCTCAGCCTTAGAATGTTTCTCTTTTCTTCTTCAGTTTTTGACTGCAATTTTGAATCTCCCTGTGATCTGGAGTATTTCCCACCAATGAGGGAGGGGTCCTGGCACAGAGTAAGTGCAGATGAGCTCTCACAGCTCCATCTTTTGGATGGCCCCGATAGAGATCACTCTGAAGACTCAACAAAAGGTGAGAGCTACAAATATATATATATATGTGTGTGTGTGTGTGTGTGTGTGTGTTGGTAATATAAAAATGTATTCAGTAAGTGCAATAGTGGAAATCTTACTGATAGAGATTTGACAATTGTTCTTTGACATTTTCTATGATTTCATTGTCTGCTTCTTAACAGAAATTAGAACCAATATGTTTGCTGTGAAGGATTTCAAAACACATATATTTTCTAGGCCTGGGTAACAACGGAAAAATTTGTTTCTAAAATCGATTTGTATTTGGGGGGGTTTTTTGTTTCGATATTTAAAATAATTACAAAATTTTCCTTTTAAAAAGTTCGATATTTACGAAATTTCGTAAATGGTAAAAAAATAACGAATCGATTTCCGAAACAATAACGAATCGATTCGTTAATGGCGGACGCGACTGCGAAATACGCTAAAAAACCTCCAAAACCTTCTGAAGCTTCCCTCTCCCTCTGTTGTTGACTGTTGGTGTGATATTATAATTTTTTTTCACTAATTAAACCATAAAACTGGCCCAGACATGCGGAAATAATAACAAAACGACCTCAAAACAATAACGAAACGAATACAATACCGAAATACGAAGCATTTACAAAACGTTTTTGAAAATTCGTTTTTTTTAATAATTGCTCCAGAATGGTTCGTTATCGTTTTGTAATTGGAAAAATTAACGAATTATTAACGAATTACGAATTAACGAAACGAAACCGCCCAGCCCTAATATTTTCATAATGTGCAGTGATATGGACAGTGTCCTGAATCCAAGTAGATTCTCTGGAAATGTTCTTCACAAAATATGATAACTGAACCCAAACTTGAATGGATACATTAATGGTGGGTTCAAACAATCTCCTAAATAAGTAGATATCTTTATACAAGAGCTATGTTCTTATTGGCAAGGAGTAAAAGAGACAAGATCAATATGTCGTAGAAACTTTAAGCAAGCAGACTTCATATGGTAAACTTACTGCCCAAATACCCATGGACATTTGGATCCTCTACTGTATGGTTTTCCTGTCTCTCTGGACCATTTATTTACTTAAGCATCATAATAATCCTATATCAGCCTCAAGAACACATATGCAGCATACAAATATCACAAGATGGTTCCTCTTTAACCATAATGTCAAGGTTACATAGAATTCTGGGTCTTGTGGTTTAGTGGAACACTAGAGCTCTTTGGCTGAGAACTCAAAGTGCTCTCCCCTAAATTACCAGTTGCAAATGAGGTTCTGTGAACGGGCCTCTACTTATGGAGTAACAATGACCTTTCTGCGAAAGGATGTCTCATGATTCCCTGCCAAGCTTATTATTTATAAAGGACACTCATTAATAAAGATTTAGATACACTTATGGTGTATCATTACACAAATGATATACAACTCAACTGCTTCTACGTCATTGAATTTGTGCATTTCTACAACTTATTTATATTGTTCTTTGTAAACTCCAGTGTCTGTGTGCATACTTTTTGCTTTACATGCAAGACTATTTCCACCCACTGACATGATATACAAATTCAAATTTGACCTTGCAGGTGAATGTTGTGGCAACACAACATTTACAAACCACCTCTTAAGATTTTAACCAGCCATAAACAGCAAACCACCCTCTTTCAATCCTGATGTTAGACATCTACCATGAAAATTATCACCAGATGGCTGAGATGATGGGATCTGTTGTCCAACACAGTTGAATGACATGAAGTTGGGTGGGAACTGTCTTGATTAGATGCTGAGGAGAAAGATTACCCTTGCAAACATTTTAGCAATCGGTTGTAACTCCAAAATACTGCCCTTGCCCTAAAAAGGTGTACAGTGTGCTTCTGGCTAACTTGGGAGAGTAAGGTGACCCAAAGAATGGGACCAATAAAGGAAGATACTGTACATTTAAACTGAAACAAGTGCGTTGTTGTATGGAGGTTGCAATTCTGTCTTTATATCCAGTCCACATGTGGCCTTCAATACCTGTGTGGCTCTAATCCTTTTTGTGGATAGTTTTATATTCTGTAACTGGAAGTTTTACTTGTAACTTTAAAAACAACCCTTCACTAGTATTGCGATCCAATGTGCCTTTTTAAATTGCTGTGCTCAACATGACTGTATTGCATTTAGATTTTTGTCATGCGGAGTGATTGAGAAGTTATATGTGTTTTATATTTTATGATAGAACATTTTTGTTAGATTGTTAATTTTGTTGGTAATTTTTCTGAAGTGTGCATGGTCTTTCTTTTTCTGGTCCTCTTCCCCAGGTTGTCTTAAATTTTAGAGACCTTTCCCTTTTGTTTTTATCTTGGCATGCCAACTCCAGAGACAAACAAGGAAAATAAAGGATATGTAATTAATAATTCCTATGTAGTCAAGTGAGCCCTGACAAAGCCTCTTAGTAGAACTGCAGTCTTGTGAATCACAGCTGGCAGTTCCCTTTTCTGCCTTTAAATAACCACTTGAAATTTTGTTCTTTCAGCTAGCATTTCCCATTTGATTTTATATCATTTTAATCACAGCTGTTTGGCAGTGGAATATTGTGTGTGGTCTGTTTCAATCTAGAATAATTAGGCAGAGTAATTTCAACCCCTACTGTTTGTTTCCTGCAAATGCAGCTTCAATTAGCTGTCTCCCTTTCCAATTCCATTCATGGATTGTGAGTAAGAGGAGTAAATAAGCAGAGTGTTGAGTTACCATCAGAAAGCAACTTGGCTCTTAAGCTATATCTACAAATTGTATAACTCAGGATATATCCATTCCTAATAAATAAAAGAGACATAAATAGTTATTACCTTTAGAGGTGTTTGGGGATATACAAAAGGAAAGGACCATCTACATTTACAAAGATTCTTGATAAATGTGAACTCTTGGCTCTGCCTTTTCTCTCCTTTGCTTTAGTTCCCCCTGTTAATAGATTTTCCCAATAGTGTAAATACCTTCTTTTGTATTAGTTTTTGGGTGGAGCATAACACTCCCCAGAGGCCAACCTTAGTTGGTCTATTCCATTACCCTGTATAGAGCTCTCTTGTGGACTCCTCCCTTTTCTACAGTCACTAGAGTCTTGGGGCATTGTCTGGTAATCCTAGACCAAGCAATCCAAAAACAGGCATTCTTAGCACCTGCTGCATTTAGCAGTATTATTATACCAACAGTCCAAAGGACAACAGAAGCTTTTGGCCAGCCTAAGCTTCACAGGAGATAAGTTTGTAAGCAACTGTTTATAACAATCACTTTGTACCAGAGACAAGAGACTTTCAAAGATTCCAGAAAGATGACTGCAACCAGCAAAATCTCCTTTTGTAGTGTATTGTTTAGTTACCTTATGATAGTCCCGGGTTGAGTTATTAAGACCCTTAGCAGACAGACGCATTTTAGGCAAGGTGAAAATATAACCAAGTGAGTTTACTGAAACAAGATGAATAAAGGGTAGTCCTAGGACTACCCAGGGATCTATCCCTTTAGCCCACTTAAGTTCTTCGGACTTCCAAAAGCCAGGGAGAACTGAGAAGGACATGCACACCCCCTCTCCCAAGTCTTAAAAATGAAGGAAACTTACTGGGTTGCCATTAGGCCTCTCTGGAGGCCTCCTGTAGTGTAGCAGTAATGACCAGGAGGTGGGGGGGGGGGAGTGTTGGGAACAGCCAATGGGTAAATCCCATTGGGGGGGGGAGACTTAAACCTGCTCCGTAGCACTTTTAAATGTAGTCTGGAAGTGCCTATAGAGTGCTCCCTTACCTTTATGCATGAGAAAATCCCTGAGCAGGTGCAAAATTAATTTCTTTATCCATTTATTCACATCTGTTAGTGATTAAAGGGTCAAAATACTTAGTAAATTTTGAAAGAAATATAGTCTGAAAAATACTAAAAGCTTATGCCACTTTGGCCCCTGTCATTTAAGATGATCATCGGTTTAAAAACTCACAAATTTAAACATGTAGCAATGCATTTTTAAAGCAGAAATATGAGTAATATTGAATCTCAAAGCAACTATTGTCTGAACAAAAGTCCTTTGAATTAGATTGGTCTTTTATGAGTGTCATAAAGCCAGGAGGAAAAAAAAACACTTAGCAAACATTTTGGAAGAGGTCATTCTACAAAGTCAAGACAATCATAGAAAAAGTCCTAGTAAATGAAAGGTGCCTGGAACAGGGCTCTTACAAATTATTTTCTAAAAAAAAAAATGTACAGTGAGAGGATACTTCTGAGATATATCCATCTGGGAACACTTTGGAAAAGTTACTTTGTAGACTATGGGTTTTAGAATTCCTAAGTCAGCATGACCCTAGTGATTGTGATATAATTCAAAAAATGATTTAAAATATACAAGCTCTACTACTAATCTATTAAGAGCATCAAGAGCGGACAGCAAAAAATGGATTTACAAATTGTGAGAACAGTTCCTAAAGAGCTGGTTGAATATGTTTCTCCTTACCAGTAGCTACCAACAAGCAATTGAGTGTTTTTCTAGCTGCAGTAGCCCCCAAACCAACTTCAGGGATGGCATTATGTAGAATGCGTACAGTATTCAATTTTCTCTGCATAACTACGAAGTATAACTCCAGGCACATCTACATTGACACCTAGGGAGTTGGGAGAATCAGCCCCCTGGTAGCTAAATGATGCACATACCTCATTCAGGTTAACATGGACAAGCCCTTGGCTGCTGCTGCTGTCTGAGTATTCTATAGCAGCAGCTTATGCACTGGGCAATCTATGTAGAGTGCCTGTTCTGTTAAGTAGAGCAACAGAAATACATGACTACGTTCACTCAGAGGTCAGAAAAGTTACTTATGGGGCCTGCAGTCCTCATAATACAGTCAGCTAGAATGCCCATTGGTGTGGTGCAAAAATGTGTGGTCCTAAAAAGTAACCTTTTTGGGCTCATAATAAAATGTAGTTCCAGTCTCCCCAGCCATCATTGCCTCCAGTGTACATGGTTTCAGTCTTAGCTTATTCACCTTTGAACACCTAATTTGGGGCTTTGAGAGGCTAGTTTGGAAAG